CCCTGCCCTGCCTGTAGCCAGCCCCGCACTCCCTGCCCTGTCTCCAGCCAACCCCTGCTGCACCCCCCTGCCTGAAGCCAGCCAGTCCCGCACTCCTCTGTCTCCAGCCCTGCCAACCCATGCCGCACCCCGCTGTGGCCCTGCCTGAAGCCAGCCAGCCCACCCCACACACCCCTGTCTCCAGCCAGACCTGCACCCCTTGCCCTGCCTGCAGCCAGACTCTACCTCCAGTCAGCCCCAGCCCTGCCTCCAGCCAGCCCCATGTCCAGTGGTGCCCTGCAGTTCCCAGGGCAGTAACCCTGCACACCTGCTTCAATGAGGGAGGCAGGGAGCAGCTGGGACCCACACATGTGCACACCCCAGGGAGTGGCGGGGACCCACACATGTGAAACGGAGCTCATTTCTAGTTCAGGCCCATCTTTTTAAAAAAGAACTTTAGGTAGGGTTAACATACATCCGTATTTTCCCGGACATGTCAGGCTTTTTGGTTTTTAAATCGCCGTCCGGGAGGAATTTTAAAAATTTAAAAATTTCTCCCGGGAAAATACGGACGTATGTTAACCCTATTGGTACAAAAAATACATACTGTGGCACATCCCTTAAATCAGAATTTTTTATAGGGAACCGGTTGCTAAGAAATGAAAGGCTTTTTTTTACATGTTTTTTTTTTTTTTTTTTAGGCATCCCTGCCGGGGCCCCACCGAAAATGTTCGAATTGGGCCCCGCACTTCCTAAAGCCGGCCCTGGTAATAGGAGCCTATATAAGAAAAAGACCCCAAAATCAGGACTGTCCCTATAAAATCGAGACATCTGGTCACCCTAGGAATGAACTTGGGTAAATAATTGTGGAATACTAGTTTAAAATTGTGGATTTTCCAGGATTTTTAAACATTTTAACATGAGGCAAACTTCTCTCAGGTGCAATTGATGATAGCTGTAGCTTTTCAAAACCAATCACAAGTGTATAATGAGAAGCTGTTTCCAGAATCAGGGCTTAAATTAAGTGAATCGTGATCACATTAACTTTGTGAATCCTGCAATGGGCACCAGGGAGGTGGATCCCTGTGCCTGTGAAGAAGACCCTTATCCTGCAACTGATTTTGCCTGGGCAGAGTCCTGTTAACTGCATTTGAGCTCTGAGTTGGTGCAGGGATCCAGCCAAGTACTGGGTCATTACTAGGGTTACCATATTTCAGCAAGCAAAAAAGAGGACAGGAGGAGCCCCACCCTAGCCCCGCCCCAGCCCCGCCCCTCCCACTTCCCGCCCCCCTCAGAACCCCCAACCCTCCCCCCCGCTCCTTGTCCCCTGACTGCCCCCTCCTGGGACCCCTGCCCCTAACTGCCCCCCAGGACTCCACCCCCTACCTAAGCCTCCCTGCCTCTTGTTCCCTGACTGCCCCCTCCTGAGACCCTCCCCCCATCCTAACTGGCCCCCTAGGACCCTACCCCCTACCTGTACCCTGACTGCTCCAACCCTTATCCACACCCCCACACAGACCCCTGGGACTCCCACGCCCCATCCAACCACTCCCCACCCCGACAGCCCCCCCCAGAACTTCCGACCCATCTAAACCCCTCTGCTCCCTGTCCCATTGACTGCTCCGATCCCTCTCCCCACTCCTGCCCCCTGACAGCCCCCCCCCAGAACTCCCAACCCCCCCCTCGCTCCTTGTCCCCTAACTGCCCCCTCCTGGGACCCCTGCTCCTAACTGCCCCCCAGGACCCTACCCCCTACCTGTACCCTGACTGCCCAAAACCTTATCCACACCCTCCCCCAGAAAGCCCCCCCCGAACACCCGACGCCCCCCCCATCTCTTGACTGCCCCATCCAAAACCTCCCTGCCCCTTCTCCGACCCCCCTGGCCCCCTTGTTGTTGGCCTTCGCCTAATGTCTCTGTGAACTTGCTCAGGAACAGCCTGAGCCGTTCGTCCCGGCAGGCTGGCTAGCAGGGGAGGAGGAGCGGGGGAGGAGCTCCAGACTGCCGGAGGTGATCTGCGAATGCAGGGAGGGAGGGAGTGATCTCTGCTGCAGGGGAAGCGAAGGAGAGTCTCTCTCTGGCTGTCGGAGCCTCATGTAAGTGGCACCATCCGGCCGGCTGCCCTGTTAGCCACGCGCGCTCTGCATGGGGGGGAGAAGTCCGGACATTTACAAATTCCCCCCGGACGCTATTTTTAGCTCAAAAATCCAGACATGTCCGGGGGAATCCGGACGAATGGTAACCCTAGTCATTACACATATTGAATCTATTTCCCCATGTTAAGTATCCTCACACCTTCTTGTCAACTGTCTAAAATGGGCCATCTTGATTATCACTACAAAAGTTTTTTTTCCTCCTGCTGATAATATCTCATCTTAATTAATTAGCCTCTTACAGTTGGTATGGCTACTTCCACCTTTTCATGTTCTGTGTGTTTGTGTGTGTGTGTATGTATATATA